AATAATAATAATTTTGTTGTTGATGCTTGTGTAAACATTAAGAACAATGGTTTTTTAAACATGACAAGTTATTGACTTAAAAGAAAATAACAAAAAGCCTAATTTTAAAACATAATAATGTCCTAGTAATTACGGATCTAATTTAAGACACATCCTTCTTTTTGTCTGGCGCTGTTTTTTTTTTCTCCACTGTTTGTCCTTTTCCTCTACTCCTCATTCTCTAGAGCTTCCCCATCACAGACCAAAACCCTTGTATGTACCAGTAACGCGGAACAATGAGAGCACTTTCTGCACGAGGGACCAGTACCTGGCACCCAGAGTAGCCTTCATCACCTGGCTGGTCACTTTCTTCCTGGAGAAGAAGTACGTCAGCAGTGCTGCTGCGGCGCAGAGCGCCAGAAACGGCACAGAGGTCATTCCCAAACTCATCCAGGTAAACACAATAGCACTTCTGTGTTGATTTCTTATTTTGTCATAAAGAATTGAGGACTGCTATTGGGATGTTTTTTTTACTATAGGTTTAAACTTTCTTCCTAGTGAAGACAATGGGAATAAACGTTTTATCTATTTTTTTATTTGTGACATTCAAAGTAAGAGACGTCTCTCATAGACTGCAGTTAAACACATCTACAATGTAAAAATACCAAATTATTCAACAGTAAATTAGCTCAATGACCTATGATTGCAGTTAAGTTTTGCTTGATGCTTGATTAGTTTTTGTAAAAAATAAAACATGAAAAAGAAAATTGAAATTAACATGCAATGAAAGTTATTTTACAGCCAGTGAAAACTTTTTTAAGTAATGACTAATACAACCATTGCAGATGATGATGATGATGATTAACAATGGAAATTAAATTCTATTAACCAGGTGTTGAATTTTAAGGAGTCCCCCCTGTGGTGAACATTGGCTTGTTCAGTGCCCTCTACCTCTGTCTCCTTGTCAGACTGTCACTGCAGGCAGTAGCAGCCAGGAGAAGGAGAAAGATAAGACATCTGATGGGGATACAATCGGGCCAGCAGGGGACACTGAAAAGAGCCACTCCAACAGCAGCACGCTGTCTGATCGACGGCCAAGTGATTCCAGTTTGTGTAGCATCGAGGAGGAGTACAAACAAGTTTATGACATGGTGCATTCCATTCTGTTGTCCACCAGGGACAATGTCAATTTTGTCAACGAGGTCTTCCACCAGGTACATTATGGTTCCCAAGTTACAAAATACATCTGTATAAATAAATTTATCACACTGTGTTAATATAAAATGAACCAATTTTGATGAATGCAGATTTTAATTTTAATTTAAACAACTCTAAAATGTACTGTGGCGCCCTCTTGTGGTCATTTGTTTAATCAATAAGGTCCCTTCTTCATCACTGTTCTAAACGTGTTTTTATTAATAGTCATTGTCTTGTTCCACAGGCTTTCCTGTTGCCATCTTGTGAAGCTTCAGCAACCAGGAAGGTGATTAAAGTGTACAGAAAGTGGCTCCTGCAAGAGAAGCCCACCTTCATGTCAGAGCCTGATAAAACTACACCGGAAGATGAAGTGGATGATGGCTCAGAGCGGGTCAACTCAGAGACAAACAACATACATGTACAAGCAAAAATCACAGTAAGAGACTGGAGACATAAGGTGGATTCATATTTTCTCGCCACATGCAATACATGGCAAGTTATGGTATGCTAATGTTGTGAAAAGCTGTGTAAAAGTTGTGTATTATTACACATTATCACATATCGGTACAGTACATTAATGCAGTTCTTGCAAATGAGACCCAGTAAGGGTTTTGTAACATTACGTTGCACATTTTTATTTGGTAACATTACAAACATCTGGTTTGTATTATTAGTGTAGTATGTATCTGGACCAGCTCTACACCCTCAGCAGGGTCCTAGAGGGTGCATGGGAGTTCACCCAACCAGTCTACATGTGTTTTGTGGACTTGGAGAAGGCGTTCGACCGTGTCCCAAGGGGGGCCTTGTGGGGGGTTCTCGGGGAGTATGGGATACCGGGCACTCTGATATGGGCTGATAGGTCCTTGTACGACCGGTGTCAGAGCCTGGTCCGCATTGCCGGCAGTAAGTCGGGCTCGTTCCCGGTGAGAGTTGGATTCCGCCATGGCTGCCCTTTGTCACCGATTCTGTTCATTACTTTCATGGATTCGTTTTGGTGGCCTTAGGATCGCATCTCTGATTTTTGCGGATGATGTGGTCCTGTTCGTTTCATCGGAACGTGACCTGCAGCTCTCGCTGGAGCAGTTTGCAGC